AAGTAAATTACTTGACATATATTAATACATACAAAGTCTGATTTTTACTCAGTTTGAGTCAATTCACTAATTACTATACCAGTACTTTAAAGCGATCTGAATCTAACTTTGAAAAAGTTAATTTTATTGAAATGAAAAAAGCAATATACTTACACTTTAAAAGGTGTTCTTATTTATAAACTCAGATACAGTTTGCTTTGATTTCTTTATCTCGTTTAAATTTATTTTCTCCATGAACCCAATACATGTACCTATTTAATCGAAAAAAATACCTGCGCAACCAATTTCAATTGGCAGCGCAAGTTAATTTACATGTATTATCGCGCCGCAGTGTTGTCAGTCCAATTGGACACTGTTAAATTATGTGTAACACACACGTTATTTGTACTTGAATTATAAACGTTTATTTCAGCTGGCGCTTTTTTTATAATTAGAAGTTGTTCCAGTTGCCAACACTGATAAAAATAAAAAGATTAACATAGAGAACTAGCGTAACTTTATATAAACCCGGTAACTGTATATCAAAGTGCAAGATCATCAACGTTAACGTTGACCGAAGGACGTAGATTTTATCAACACCATGGCTTCTGCCATGAAAGTGAAAGACAACGATGAATTTGTGGTTCAAACCTCTACGAGGGATTATTGACTATCTTTCGACGAATGTTTTCTTCCGAATTGAAAGAGATAGCTTTAAGAATAAAATCAAGACATAAGTCAAAATGAAATTGATAACAATAGAAAAAAGTTATTATTATCTATTTATAAAGACAAATTACTTGTTGATATTTGTTATCGATATGAAATAGCAATTATCAATAAACCTAATCTTATTTATCTAATTTATGAAGAGTTATATACTAAGAAAAATAGCTCTTCAAAAATTCTTTTAGTTCATTATCAACAATTTGAAAAAAACATTTTAAAATTGATAGTGAAATATTTGATTGGCACTTAAAATTAGCTGAAAGCGGAGATGCTCGAATGCAATTTATTCTTGGTTTTTGTTATCAAAATGGTATAGGAACTCAAAAAGATGAGAAAAAAGAATTAGAGTGGTATTTGAGGATGGAGAACAATATAATCTCGGTGTGTTATCAAAATGGTATAGGAATTCAAAAAGATGGGAAAAAAGCATTAGAGTAGTATTTAAAATCAGCAGAGGTGGAGATGCTTTAAGACAAAATAATATCGTTTTTGTGATGAAGAAGGTATAGGAATTCAAAAAGATGAGAAAAAAGCATTTGAATGGTATTTGAAATCAGCAGAGGGTGGAGATGCTAGAGGACAATATAATATCGGTTATTGTTATGAAGAAGGTATAAGAATTCAAAATGATGATAAAAAAGCATTTGAGTAGGATTTGAAGTCAGCAGAGGGTGGAGATGCTAGATGACAATATAATCTCGGTGTGTGTTATCAAAATGGTATAGGAATTCAAAAAGACGAGAAAAATGCATTTGAGTGGTGTTTAAAATCAGCAGAGGGTGGTGATGCTAATGATAATTTAATATTGGTATGTGTTATCGAAGTGGTATGGAGTTCAGAAAGATGAGAAAAAAGCATTTAAATGGTATTTGAAATCGGCAGAGTGGTGATTTTGAAGGACAAAATAATCTTAGTGTGTGTTATCAAAACGGTATAGGAACTCGAAAGATGTGAAAGAAGCATTAGAGTGGTATTTGAAATCAGCAGAGGGTGAAGATGCTTTGGGACAAAATAATCTCTGTTTGTGTTATCGAAATGGTATAGAAATTCAAAAAGGTGAGAAAAAGCATTTGAATGGTGTTTAAAATCAACAGAAGGTGGAGGTGCTAATGAACAATTTAATATTGTATTGGTATGTGTTATCAAAATTGTAAAGAGTTCAGAAAGATAAGAAAAGCATTTGTGTGGTATTTGAAGTCAGCAGAGGGTGGAGATGTTAAAAGACATTATAATCTCGGTTTGTTTATTATTACAGCGATGATATCTATGCTCAGTATGCTCAATATTTTTTTGCAGAATGTTACTTTTAAGAAATGGAACAAATAAAAATGAGAGAAAAGTTTTGAATAATATGTAAGATCCGCAGAAGCCATATTGATAACATTCTGCCAATTTGAATTGAGGGTATTCATTTTCACATTTGGTATTCTCAAAGATCTAGATATGGCACTAAAATGGTACAAGAAGACCCACGAGAATGACCATGATCGAACAGCAGAGCTGATTGAGTCATTTAATTTTGAACAAATATATTCTTATTATCGATAACCTTTTAGTTAGTGAATTAAATGCGAGTTTATTTAGATAATTTATGAAAATCATTTTTTAATATTTAATTCAAAATCAACTTTTTACATTCCAAGACTTTTTGAAGATATTCTATTAGAAATTAGTAAATTTATACTTTTATACATAATGCTAAAATTACAATACATCTTTATTTTAAATTCTTAATGAATATTATAAAAACAGTATTATAAATTTTTTAACTCTTACAATTTCTATAGTATTTTTTAAAATACTAGCAATGAATTTCAATATTTAGTTATTAAATTATAATCTCTAGTTTAGATAACTAGTGATAAAAATCAGATAATTTTGTTTTAATTAATGAACGATTAGAGAATTTATTTACTAATAATACACACAATTACTGAAAATCCAAAAAAAGCATAGAAAATATAGTAAAATTAAAATTATCTCTCTATAATAATATTTTTATTTTTATTAATAATATTTTTTTATATCAAAATAAAGCTTAGAACCTGAATTTTAACATATATTTTTTATAAATTTTTTAAATTTAATTTCAGGAATATTTCAGATTGTAAAGCTGGTTATACAAACTTTTTATAATTAAAATTAAATAATTTGAATTTTTAATTATATATCAACTTTACAATCTGAAATATTCCTGAAATTAAATTTAAAAAATTTATAAAAAATATGTTAAAATACAGGTTCTTAGCTTTATTTGATATAAAAACAAAAAATATTTTCAATATAGAGATAATTGCAAATTTTACTATGCTTTTTTTGGATTTCCAGTAATTTATTATAGAGGTATGAATAATTAAGATTAAATATTATATGAAAAAGATTAATACAGAAATTATCTAATATTGCAATTTTTCAAATTTATATTATCAGTCAAATAAAATGATTGCATTAATTATGTCTAATGACACAAAATGGAATTTATATTACTTGTCAAATTAATGGTTTGTATGTGTCCGGATCTTTATGATGCCCACTGTAATATAAAAGAATGCAATAAAATTCGAATGGATTCAAGATTTCCCGATTTTGAATAGAAGGTTTTGGAACAATTTATAAAGGATTGTTCACTATTCTAAGTGAAATATGAAGAGAATAAATTTTAACAATCTAGGGAACGTAAAGTTGTGTTGAAATCATTACATAATTAGATTTTACGAACGAGGTTATTTTCTAATCCAATTAATTTTTCAAAATAGATTTAGACAGCAATTTAGAATAATTTTAGAATCACATTTAGAATTACGTGTCGTGGGCATACGTACGTAGTCATTTTGCATGCATAACTCGATTTACGGAAGCGAATAAAGACGTAATACATTATAAATCGTTGTCTTCTAAATAAAACACTGCCATAATTACTAATAAACTAAACTCAAATAAGGCACCTAAAATTTAATTACAGTAAATGTCATTAGTGTCGATATAACAACTACTGTGGAAAGTGTTTGCTACATCACAAACGAATTTATGAAACTGAATGGTCTAGAATAAAGAGATTGACTATCTAATAAAAGAATACAATAATATTACTGTGTAATATTTGAATGGATCTCTTACCAATGTTGAATATCTTGCAAAAGGAGGTTTTGGATTAATGTATAAACAACCTGCGTGATTGGACGGACCTTAAAGAATGGGATGATGTAAAAAAAAAAACTATTGCTATCATTTACAAGAAAAACAAAAAGTTTTATTATTGGCCTAAAATTGTAGTATCGTTTTGACTAGCTTGCATATTTAAATATGATATTGATTCGCTGGTGTATTTGGATTAAATTTCTGCTAAATTCGAAGGATATTGGTTTGCTGCTGGTAAATTCGGGTTATATTGTTGATACGATGACGAATTCTGATTATATTGTTGATACAATGGTGAATTCGGGTCATCGTAATATTGTTGATGCGATAGTGGATTCGGGTCATACAGATATGATAAATGCGGGTTATATTGCTGATATGATGGATTAGGTTGCGGAACTGTTTGTTGAACGGGAAAGTTATATTGACTAACAGGTGTTGTAAATCCTGATGCACTAAGAGTTGAAACTGGTTCATTGGTCGAATGTGAATATTCCGAATGTCCTCTTCCATTTGGAAGAATGGTAGCAAGGGTAGTAGTAGGTGAACCAGATTTACGTCGTCGAAGAAAAAATATAAAGGCAATGGTAGCAAGGCCACCGCCGATTATAACACTGATTGTACCTCCAAGGATTAAACCAATATTATTTTTGTTTTCCGTGTTTGCAGCAGGTGTACCTGTGATCGTAGTTGTTGAACTAGTTGTTAAACCAGTTGTGGGACCAGTGGGACCAGGAGGCTTTATTGAACCATCAGTAGTTGTGGTTGGTAATGTTCTTACTTTGTAAGTAGGAACCCAGGCCAACGAGCTTAGATTCGCCACATCCATAACTTTTACTTCAGATGTATAATGATAATTTCCGTTCACTCCTGCAAAACAAAAATTATAAACAATATGAAATAATAAAAGAAAATGATAAAATATAACTTTACCAAAAGCTATAATCATATATCCATTATACAAAACTGCAGTATGACCTCTTGTCACAGTAATGTAAGGTAAACTAGAAACTGATTGCTGTGACCACTCCCAATTTTTTGTATTCAATGTCCACACCGAGTCAGAAACGGGTATTTCTTCGTCATGGTCGTAAACCCCTCCATACATAATAATAGAGATGGTATCCATGTCTTTTATTTAAAGAAATATTAATCGTTTTTATTTTATATTTTTATTTTATACGAAAAAAATTGAAATATTATTATTACGAAGTAATGCTGAATGTCCCCTTCGATTTCTTATCGATTTGTTGCTTGTAGATAGCTAAAGAAAATAAATTTTAATATTGCAATAAATCTATACATATTTAAAATTATTGACTTACTTGACTACTCCATTCAAGTTTCGTGGTATCAAATATTAATAACTAAATAATTAATAACTAAATTAAAATAATTCCTAAAATAAATAATAGTTTAACAATATACATGTACCTCTGAAAAATTAACATCTGGATACGGACTGCTACTAGCGCCGCCAATATAAATAATTCGTCCATCATTTAATAACGTAGCCGAATAAGATGCTCTTGGATTCGGTGCATTATTAAGATTATAGCTTGTCCATTTATTTTCTTCATATATATACATCGTTTTATTATCTTGACCTTCATTACGCCCACCCCATACAAAAATTCTCGAATGATTATCGATAATTGGAACTATTCCATCTCGTGCACTTGGCCATGTTTCTGCTTGGTTTGGTGAAGATGCTATCCAATTAAGAGAAACGTCATCGGATATTGATGGCTTGATCTTGAACAATGTGTTTACTTTTGGTAATACCTTTTATCGTTATAAAATAATAAACGATTATTAAATATTACTGATTGAATAAAAAAGAATCCGAAATTTACCAATTGTGATGCATCAGTTCCACCAAATATATAACTAGTGTTATCTTTTCCTAGACAAGCGGCAGTCCAGGCAGGTGATGGCATGTTATCGAGTCCTAAAACTTGAATAAAATTCGGCTTATTTGCTGTAAAGTCTAATGATAAATCCAATAGAAATGTATTGACTTTTTGAGGAGATTCTGTTCTGCCACCAATATAATAAATTTTTTTTCCTATCAAAGCTGCGTTGTTTCCATCGCGTGGAAGCAAAGCAGTGTCAATTGAATCACATTGAGAAATTAAAATACTAACATTAACGCTAATTATAATCATAAATATTTTGAATAATGAATTCATTTTTTTTAAATATTAAAAAATCAAAGAAATAGCAGATATGTATTCGTTACTGTGAAGAAAAGTAATCGTTACAATAAAGGTTAAATAGACATGTATGAAGTTTGTCGCTGCATCACCAGATGAAAAAATTTCCTTATAAGTCCTTATTTTAACCAACCTTTGTGTTGCGAAGAAAAATAAATTCTTGTTTTAGCCAACATTCCTGTTGCCAAGACTAATTACATGTAGCTAGTTACACTACAAGTGTATGGATACAACTTAAACAAGAACAAGCAAGCTAATGCTAAGTATCACATAATTATAATTCAAATCATTGTATCCGTATGCAAATTATTAATACATTTGCTAGTGAACCCATCTTTAGGTACAGTATGCTTTTAATTTGTATGACGAGACGTTTAAAGTTTCAAGAAAATTCAATAGTTTATCAATAAGAATTTCTCAACTTTCAATCTAAAGAAGACTTCTCGATTAATTGCAGCTAATTATGATATGTAAAAATTGAAAGGCAGTTAGTTAATTGTGCTTGTTTTGTTCAAATCTCTTTTTTAATTATGATATAATTAAGACTAAATTTAATTTGTGATTCGCGAGTAATAGAAAGAGTTAACTAAGCGGAGATAATTAAAACCTAACGCTAACGCTAACGTTAAATAAATTTCACTCGATAAACTGGAGTTCTTAACCTGATTTTAGGAATTTAACTCCGTCCACTCCGATTTACTGTGTCAGTACACCAAAGGTAAATAATGCCCGGTCCAAAATTAAATAATAAAACATATAACGATAAAAAATGGAAATTTTCAAGCTATGTACATATATATCTAAATTTTTTATAATTATTCTAAATTTTATATCATTTTAAAAGCTACGTAATTGATTGTATTTTTGAAAAAATAATACAAGACTTGTGGCAACTTAAATACAAGGACTGTTTTGATTGGAAAGTAAAAAAATTCACGCTTTATATATGAAAATTGAAAATTTCAAGTGATCTATATTTCTATTAGTAACTATTTCTAAATTACGTGATAGCATTTTAAAAGCTAATCAATTGTATTTTTGAAAAAGTGAACAATTCTTATGTCATTTTAAATTTAAAGAACTGTTTTAATTGTAAATAAACAAAATAATTTTTATATATATTTTACTATATAATTTTAATCGGGAGTTACTTTTTTTGGGGTACTGTAATGCCAATTTCGTCATGTTTATCAAGTACGTTTATGAAATTGTCGTCGTTTACTTATTGTCATATGGGCAAAATAAATAATAATAAAATTATGTATCTCTGTAACTTACCGTTACCGTAATATACATCTATATTAATATATACTCAAACGTGATGATCTAAATTTGAATGAAATCGACCTTTGTGAAAAGGTACTTGAATGGGGAATCTCGCAAATTCTAGCGAAATTAATCTGACAATTCCAACGAAAAAATGTGCACATGACGAATTTAAGCAACGCTTAAAAATTGTATACCATTAATTCATTTCTTCCACATCAATTCGGTTGATTTTTATAACAAAGTTATACCGTATGTTGAAATTTTACCGGGAACACTATACAAAGATTTATTACATCATTATTTGGTACCAGGAAGTGAAAAAAACAAAGCTACCTTACACTCAGTACAACTATGAACTCTTCAATTCTTTCGTAGAATCAGATCTCGAAAATAATCGACTGGGTTAAAGAAAAGATGATAAAAAACAAATAAATCAATTAAATGGAAGCTGTTACTGCGAGGTAGTCGTGATGGATTCAAGAATACTGACTTTCATCGTCTGTGTGATAATAAAGGTCCAACAGTTGTTGCCATTCGCGTAAAAGA